AGTTTTATATTTATACTTGATTTTATACATTTGACTTAATATTATTGCAAACTTCATTTTCCTTTTTAATATATTCATAGTTTTGTTTTAGTTTAATTCAACATTTTATATTTACTTTCATTTCATTTAATTTTTTAATATAATTTAATTTAGTTTTAAATTTGACTTACTAAATAATTTATTGGGAGCTCTGGTGGCGTAGTACGTAGCACTTGACTGCTAACCAGAAGGCTGGCGGTTCAAACCCACCAGCCCCTCCTCAGAAGGAAGGTGGGGCAATCTAGTGCCATAGAGATACTGCCTCGGAAACCCAAGGAGGGGTCGCTAGGAGTCGGAGGCGACTCAACAGCACATAACAACAACAACAAATAACTTATTATATATTTGGTATATTTTATTTAAAATTTAATTTTTATTTAATGTTAATACACTTCTGTTTCATTATTTTATGCAACATGTATTAATATTCTATGCATTTTATTTCAAATATTTGTCACTTAATTTCATCATCTTAAAATGTAATTTATGTATTTTCATATTATTTTCTTCTTTAATCACTTTAGAGAAATAGTTTTTTTAATGTTATTGACCAAACTTAAAGTAATCATTTGTTTAAATTATTTAATATGTTATTTATTTTATTTAATATAGTATTTTATTTTTTAAATTTTTAATTTGTATTTAACTTAATTTTGTATGTAACTTAATATATTTAGTATTGTTTGTTTTATTTTATGGACTACTTTATTATTTAGTGTTTAATTTCATCTAACATTTTCTTTTACTAATTAATGTAACATTTAGTTTTATTTTTTATATTTAAATGAATTTTTATATGATATTTTATTTTGGAATTTATTTCATTTAACATGTGATTTATTTAATTTAGTTTGAAGATTATTTATTATATTTTATATTTTCTTTTATTATAAAGTTTTATCCAATTTAATTTTATCCTACATTTTTAGAAAATTTATTTTTATGATTGGTATTTACTTATTGGTTCTTGATTTTGTTTTGCTTTATATAATGTTTAATATTTAATTCTGTTTAATATTTTGTTAGATTGTATTTCATATAATCTTTTGTTTAATACATTTTTTATTTATTATAATTAATCTATTTTATTTCATTATATATTTAGCTTTATTTAATACTATTTTAATGATATTACATTTCATACTTCATTAATATTTTTATGTATTTTCATATTAAACCAAAACCAAACTCACTGCTGTTGCATCGATTTGACTTATGGCGACCCCCCCTTGGGTTTCTGAGGCAGTATCTCTCATACTATTGAATTTTATTAATTTTATACAATAACTTATTTAATATTTAATTTTGTTTAACATTATATATTAAAATCAGAAACCAAACCCACTGCCATTAAGTGGATTCTGATTCATAATGACCTCCACTGGGTTTCCAGGATTGTAAATATTTATGAAATAGAAGCCTTAGCTTCCCCCACAGAGTAGCTGGTGGGTTTGAACCACCGACTTCCTGGTTAGCAGCCAACTGCTAACTTGGCACTTTATATCATTATTATAGATTTTAGTGCATTTCCTTCCTTTAGTTCAATATTTAAGTTAGTTCTGTTTTATTTATTCTTTGTATTTATTTGTTTACACCAATCACAGTTGCGTCCTGAAAAAGACATTTCCGTAGGTTGAAGGTGATTAAAAACGATTTGAGATCATCCGTGGGTCTTGACCACATGTCACACGTGGCGGTTCTCTCCTTTGAAGATGAGATAAGTGTACACCGACTCCCCACTTAGCCACGCAGTTAGGTTCCCAAGACCATTGCTCATGTGAGCACTGGCATCTGGCAAATGTGGCGACGACCCCGTGAGATCATTCTGTGACTGCCAAACCGCAGACTCGGGGCCCAGGCAAACTGACACAACCCTCACCATCACAGCCAGCATCTGGCCAAGAAAATGGTCGGGTCTGTCAGTTCCTTCCACGGGAAACAAGACAATCAAATAAGTGGACTTTCAAAATATTATCGAGCTGATTTGCATTAAATCCAGGACAATGAAATTCTAACACATTCTGGTTTGGATATAAGTGAAATTCTTAAAACAATGTGATGAGCTTTCTTTTACCTGCTGTTCAAGTTTGCAACTAAGTTTTAATCAGTGAAACTGATCGCTCTATCAAATAATCTTATTAATGAATCAAAGAATATCGATTAATCAAACATAAATAAAACAAGTAAATATAAAAATAACAAAGCCGACAAATTTGTAGGTAGGTAAATATCATTCATTAAAATAAAAATAAACAAAATTTAAAAATAAATTAATAATAGCTGCAAAAAGGGCACGGAGGCGCCATCTTCTGACCGCCTGTGACCTCACCAGGGGAAGACAGAGTCACCATCAGCAGCCCAAGGCCGATTTCCATGAGGCCACCCTCCACCCTTTCACCAACTCCCCCCCGGCACCCACTACATCTCTTCTGGGCTCCATAATTCGTTGCAACAGCCACACACAACTCACAGACAATACTCACAATTACGGGGTTTATTAGGGAAGCAACCGGTACAATTCAGGTTCAGGAATGCGCTCAGGATACAATTCTTTGATCAGGAGTCTCCCCTCTGTGCCCTCAGACACGCCTCTCTGGCCCTTGGCCTCTCCGCCTGGCCTCTGCCCTGCTCAGGCAAGTGTTACAAAGCTCTTTTAACTCTGCCCATAGGTGCACCTGCATGCACCCCACTCCCCCAGCAACCCTCCTGACCAAAAGCCCTCCCTCCGCTTTCCCCATCGGCCGGGTCAGCCTGCAGCTGTCTCATGCCTTTTGGTTGCACTGTGACCGTCTCTGCCAGGTGCCTCTTGGTTGCACTGCGACCGTCTCTGCCAGGTGTCTCTGCCGAGTAGGTCTGGTGCAAAGATCTTAGGTCCATGGATGCACTCCACGTCACCTCTAGCTCTTCTCTCGAAGGCAGTGAGATTTCCCCCTCTGCCTCGAAGGCTCATTTTACGCCTGGCCGAGTGACACAACTAACCAAAGCCAACATCCGAGTTCTACACACTGTATACATGGTCCCACCCGGTGATCTGGTGGGAGTTACCGAGACTGGCTAGAAAAGCCATACCAAGGAATTCACTGCAGCACAATAGTTGAAATAACTAAATAGATTAAATAAGCAAAAATTTAAAAATACATAAAGTAAAAAACACAACAAATAAGTATAAAATAATAAAAATGAAAAGACAATAAATAGGTACAAAATAAAACATGATAGAAATAAGTGAATCTTAAATAATATAACCAAACAACGAAACCAGACTCAGTGCCGTGGAGTCAGATCCGACTCACAGCGACCCCCCTCCTTAGGTTTCCGAGACCCTAAATCTTTAGGGAAATGGGGAGACGGGGGGCACAGGGCAGGAGGGGCGCCGCCTCCAGGGCTGCGTGTGCGAGTGTGCCCGTGTGCGCACGTAGCAAGCGCATTCCCACACGCCGGCGGGCGGCCCGGCCTGCGGCTCCGCTCGGGTGGGCAGGTGTCCGCGTCCCGGTGGGCACCTGGAGCTGACGCGCCCAGCCTGCAGCCTCCCTCCGGGTCATCGCTGGGGCGGCCCTGTCGGCGGCTCTAGGGGCCACGGGGACGAGAAGCCGGGCCCCCGATGCAAAGAGCGCGCGCACTTACGGGCGTGGTGGGCAGGGCGCTCGGTGACCCAGGCGGCCTCCCAGGCGCAGGTGACCAACCTCGGCGAGGAGATGAGCCTGCGCTTCCTGAAGCGGGAGGCCAAGCTGTGCGGTTTCCTGCAGAAGAGCTTCCTGGCCTTGGAGAAGGTCGTGGGCGGGGCGGGGCGGGGCGGGGCCACTGGGGGCGGGCGCAGACGGGGCGGGGCATTGGGGAGAGGTCGGGGAGTAACAGGATGGGATGCAGGGGCGGGGCGGCAATAGGCGTGGCTAGGGGCGTGGTGGTGGTGCAGATTGGCCGAGGTGTGGGGGGCGAGGTGGTTAGGGGTGTGGCCAGCTAGTGAGGCGGGCCCAGTGCGTGGGGAGGGGCCTGCGAGGCTCCGCCCCGTGCACTGGGTCGGGGGGGGCGTCTTCAAGGCTGAGTGGCTCACGGCGGCAGCCGGGGGGTCACCCACAGAAGATGAAGGCCGCGGAGGACGCCCGGCTGCAGGCGGAGGACGGTCTGTGGGAGGCGCTGGAGAGCCGCTGGCAGAAGCTCCAGGGGCAGAACGAGGAGCGCCTCCTGGCCCTGCACGGGCAGCGTCAGGTCCCCGCCAGCGGGGGTGGAGGCGGGCTGGGTGGAGGCGTGGGGTGGGCAGGGCCCAGGTGAGGTCTGAGCGGGGCTGGAGCAGGGTCCGTGCAGGATACGGACTGGGTGGGACTGGGCCCAAGCGGGTCCCAAGATCCCTTTGTTCAACAGCAAGAGGAGTCACGCCTCCTGGAGCAGTGGCAGGGCCTGGACCGGGCTGTGGTTCAGCTGACCAAGTTCGTGAGGCAGAACCAGGTGTCCCTGAACCGCGTCCTGCAGGCCCGGTGGGTGTGTGAATGGGGCCAGGAGGGGGAACCCCCTGCCCTCCCCTGCCCACCCAGAGCCAGCAGCCCCAGTGAAGGAGGAGGCCCAGCAGGGTCAGAGGCCCAGGACACGGCCCAGAGGGTCCCCAAGCACAGCCTCCTCCTCAGCTCTCCCGGAAGCTTGGGGGCCAGCAGCAGGCTCCCCTCCCCACCCCAACACTGAGGGACGGTCGTCTTGGTGGCCCTGACCCCAGGGATGCCAAGGGATATGTAGACAAGAGCCAGGAGGGGGAGTCGGCTGCCTGTGTGCAGGAGAACCTGGAGGCCGTGCGGCTGGCCAACGAGCTGGCCCAACAGGAGACACGCAGCACATTAGAGCTAGTGAGTGCAGTGGCGGGCAGGGGTGGGCAGCCGGTGGGGCTAAGGCATCCACGTGCGGTCCCCTTCCCTGCACGCATACAGGCATACCCCCTCAGCGCGGCCCCCTTGCACCCCTCCACCTCCCACAGCTCAAGGAGAAGAATCAGGCCCTGGAAGTGACCACCTTGGAGCTGGCCAGGCAGGTGAAGGACCTGGGTGACCACTTCGTGGCTCTGAGCTGGAGACTAGACCTACGTGAGCAGACGCTGGGCCTGCGGCTGTCCGAGGTGAGCTCTGGACCGACCACGAGGGTGAGAAGGCTGATCCAGGAAGATGCGAGCAGCTGAGGGTGGTACGCTTAGCTTGCCGCCCCCAGCGACTGGGCAACCCCGTGACTGCCCTGGAGGCCGTGTGGGCCTGGCCACCCACTCTGCCTCACAGCCCCTGACCCAGGCTCAGCTGACCTCGAGGGCCTGATGACAGTACAGTCTAGAGGCTCCCAGGAGCCGCTCCCCTGTGGTTCTTTTTGTATGAACAGCTTTCCTGAGAGAGCAGTTTGCACACGGCACAGTTCACCCATTTAAAGTGTGCGTGGTGTGTGATGGTTTTTAGTATGTTCACAGGCAGGTCCACCCATCCTCACAGCCAAGGTAGACCGTTTTAGTCCCCTCCGCAGGAAGTCTTGCAACCTGTAGTGACCACGCCCCATTCCACTCCGACTCCTCAACCTGGAGGTGGAAGCGATCGGTTGTTTGTCCTTTTGTGTCTCACTGCGTTTTCGTTGTTGCGCTCTGGTGGTGCAGTGCCTATGGCATTTGACTGCTAACGAGAAGGCTGGTGGTTCAAACCCACCAGCCACTCCTCAGAAGACCAGGCAATCTACTTCCGTAGAGATACCGCCTTGGAAACCCAAGGAGGGGTCGCTATGAGTCGAATCAGCTCGAAGGCAGTGCATTTTTTTTGTTTTTTTGGCTGCTGCGCTCAGTGGCGTTTCCAAGGTCTGGCTGGGTGAGAGCTGGCAGGACCAGTCTTTATGGCTGAGATGAGCCACACATCGGGGAGTCATACACTATTGATCCCTTCGTCTGCCGACAGGCACTCAGCTTGCATCCCCCTCCGGCTGTTGCCAACAGTACTGCTGTGGGTGTTTGTGGACGCCCCTCGCTTCCCACCCGGGCCTGCCCTGTGGCCCCACTGGGCGACTGTGGCCAGAACAGCCGCTGACAAAGCCTGTTGGCGTGGCCAGCCGCCTTCTTTCTCCCATCGGGGTGGACAGCTGTCTGTGCTCCATCCCTGCTCTGCCAACTCGGTGCGCAGCAGGGCTGAGGCACATGGCCCAGCTTCCGTGAGTGGGCAAGCCTGGCCGCCCGGACTGTCGGTGCACATGCTCGGAGCTGGCTGGGTGTGGTGGAGCCTGCCCCAGGTGCTCTCTGCCTGGCATGTGAACTTCTGGGTCCCACGGACTCCACTTCCTGGGGCCCCCGTGTCCTCCACCGGAGGGGCCCATCATTCACCCGTCTGTCCTCCGTCTGGGGCTTGGTGCCTCATTCGGGGGGTGTGTCCCAGGTGAAGAGTGGATGGGAAGGCACGGACAGCAAGCCCCTGGAGGAGGCGGCCCGGTGGCGGCAGGAGGCCGAGGTGCACCTGAGGGAGGTGCAGGAGAAGGTGGACAGCCTCCCCCGGCAGGTGCGTGGCAGACGGGCACGGATGTCCCCTCACTGGTGCCCTCGCCTTGAGCCACGGCTAGACCCCGGTATCTTCTGCTCCCCTCCCTCTCCCCTCCCCTCCCGCCTCCCCCCTTCTGTCTCCCCTCTTCCTTTCCCTTCCCTGATACCCAGATGTTCCCTGCTGTCAGGGGCCGGGTGGGGATGGCTGTGCCCTGGGCGCTTCTCCAGGTTGTCCGACCTTGACCCTGTCCCCCCCCCCCCCCCCGGCCACCTGGGCTTAGATGGAAAGCATCTCTGACAAGTGCCTCCAGCACAAGAGTGACTCAGACCTGAAGATTGTGGCCGAGGCCAAAGCCAGGTGAGGGCAGCGCAGGCGGCCGGCCCCGAGAGCGAGCGCTCTGCGTCCTCACACTGAGCTCTGAGAATGGCCTGCTCGCCAGGGCTTGTCCAAC